CAGTCCGACGCGGTACGGGCCGACGGAGACGCTGCAGGTGACGGAGACGGTGGCACTGCCGCCCACGCGGACCCCGACGGCGTCGGTGAGCAGCACGCCGTGGTGGAGCGAGGTGGCGTGCCCGACGCTTGCCGTGACGACGACGGCGGCTGGTGGGAGCCTGACGCAGAACGACATCCGCGGCGGTGGGAGCGCCGTCCCGACGCGGCTGATGGTGGCGCTGCCGCCGCCGTTTCGATGGGCACGCGATCCGCGGCTTGGCACGCACCTGAGCTTTGTGCCGGTGTCGACGGCGCAGCCGCGCGGGTTTGGCGGTCCGTGGGGAGCGATGCTGAGCAACGCGGCGTGGGTGCGCAACGCGACGAATCCGTCCACCGTCCTGGAGCTGGCTGTGCCCGTGCACCGCGGTTACTTCATTGCTGCCGACGAGACGATAGTCATTCGCTGCGACGCTGCGGCGGTGTCCGGCGGCTGCAAGGGAGTGCTGCTTGGGTCCTTCACGATCAGGTCTGACACGCTGCCCGCCGCTGCCAGCGCCCTCTCGGCGATCACCGGTGTCGTTGCGGGTGCGACGGCTGTTGCCGTGGTGGTGACCGGCGGGCTGGGCTCCGTCCTGGAAATGCAGGCACTCGGCGTGTTCGCGAGGATGTCATGCGCCTCGGCGCAGGAGCGTGCGAGCACCGTTGCGCTGCCGTACTTCCTGTCGGTGTTCGCTGCCCTTGATCCGCTGTGGATGGTGGTGGGCAACGCGCTGCTCGCCGCTGTGTTCGGGTGCGTGCACTGCGGTGTGACGGCGGCCTTCCAGCGGTGGCGCGGCGTGGACGCGGCGAGTGCGTGGGCGGCGATGCGCTTCCCGAGCCTGACGTACGTTGTGGCGCACGCGATGCACCTCGGCATTTTCTTCGGCTCGGTGCTTGCACTGGCGATGCCCGGCGCCCGCGTGCTGCACCGCGTGGTCGGTGTCGTTGGCGTGCTGTACGGTGTGGCGTTCCCTGCTGGCGTGTGCTACTTGATTGCCCGACACGCGGGCGCGAGCTTCACGAGGTACTGGCAGTTTTCGAGGAAGCCGCTGCACGAGCGCCTGCTGTACCCCGTCGGGTATTGGCACCCCGCGGCGCAGCAGCGGATGTACGGCGGCATGCTGACGAACGTGAGGGGCAGCCGCGTGTACTGGTGCGTGTTCCAGCTGTCGGTGCTGTGTGTGGTGTGCCTGATTGCGGCTGTGCAGTCGCCCGTGGGAGGCTGCCACGTCCAGTACTTCTGCATGGCGGCTGTGCTGCCTGCGGGCGCGGGCGTGGTTGCCTTCACGAACATGATGCGCTCGTCCTTCCTGACGGTGATGCACGCGGCGAGCTTTGTGCTCCTTGCGGCGCTGTGCGTGGTCAGTGCGGCCAACCACCTTGCGCCGAGCGACGGCGGTGCGAGGGCGTACGCGGCTATCGTGCTGCTGCTGGCGACTGTGGTGCTTGCGGTCACTGTGTACAGCATGGTTGTGTGGTACGCGGAGGACCGCCACTGGCAGGAGCTGCGCGAGCCGCGGCGTGGCGGACTGGAGGCGCTGCTGCGCAATGGCGAGGAGAGCGACGAAGAGACGCAGAAGCCGCAAGAAATGGCGTCATCGTCGTACACCTCAGGCACCACCGTTTCGTCGTCGTACCGACCACCCGCACCGCCGTAGCAGCCCATGGCTGGTGATGCCCGCTCAGACGCCCTGGGCCTGCTCGAGTGTGCATCCAGTGCGAGAGGCAAAATTGGTTGTGCTACGCCGGAGAAGTAATGAATTTGTGCTGCTCAAGAAGGTGGGCGCAGTTTTACCTCGAGTTGGAAAGTGTCTGCCCAAACAGTACCTCCACGTGGCGAGAGTGTACGAGGCTCCTCATGGATGCGGTATAACGTAGGTGCTTTTGGCAATGTGTTTACTTCTTTATTATTATTATTTATCGGATGCTTGGTTGATTGAGTCGTTGCTTTCGTTATTTTATTTTTATCGATTTTGTCAGGAACGGATTATCGAGGTATCGCGCTAGCCCAGGGCGGCTGTGTCACGGGTGTGTGCTGCACGCTCGCCGCTGCAGTGCCCTCTCCGGATTTCGGGGTTATTATTTAGATTTTTACTCAGTAGCGAGGACGTGTTCTGCGATGGTGGCTGTTGTGCGGAGCATTGAATTTATTTGAGGAAAACTTAGGGACAAAAAACGATAACGCCCTTCTGTGGCTTTCAATAAATGAAATTTGGACGTGTGCGTTGCTGGTCGATGAGGGAGGGCGTGGGGCCACTGCTGCTGCGCACCACAGCCACCCATCGGACTCCGCAACGGCGTTTTCGCTGTTTTTCTGTGCGTTGTTTCTATTTCTGTGCGGGTGCCTGCAGTGACTCTCTCCTGCTCTCCGATGACTGTGGGGGGGGGGGGGGGGGGCGTGCCTGTTTTTCTCGTTGGTTATGATGTTGTATGAAATGCGGTAAAAGAAAATGAGCGGAAAAGTATGCAGGCTGATGTGTTTTTTTTGTATTTATGTATCGATATGTTTTTTTTGTATTACTCTGGTGGTTCCTCCTGTCTCCTTTTGCGTTGCTCCACACGTGTCTCAGTGTTTGCTTTAGTACGGCCACACACGGGCAGCTTGAGCCGCGGATATCTTTTTTCTTTTTGACGCCATTTCGTGTTAGGCACCAACGCGGTCACGTTCGGCAAGCATCCACTCTCCACAGCGTGGTGCCTGATATTTTGGAGTCATCTCAGATGTAACGCCGGCACCACCGCCGTGGCACGCATGGGAGGTAAGATGGAACGCGGGCAGCGAAAGATATTGTGCTGCACATGTGTCTGCTGCATTTGTTCTGTCGTGGT